CATAATTAATAATACATAAGATAATATAATTAATAAATAATTAATGTGTATATATATTTATAAAATATAAGATTAAATATGTTTATCAAAAAATATGTTTAAAAAAAATAACAAGATACATATCATATAGGCTCTCACACTCTCCCTTTTTTCTCCAAAAGCAAAAAAATTTTACTTTTTTCAAAACCATGGTTTTGACCCAAAACCATGGTTTTGGTTTTTAGAGGGAGTGTTTGGGTGATTGACACCCCAAACCATGGTTTGGGGTGTCATCCAAACACACCTTAATTATCCTTCAGTAAATCTATATTGTCTTGCAGCTGATATTACTAGCAGTTTGAATAGGTTTGGGTGCTTTGGCAGTGTATACGTGGGCATTTAATTTCCTTTTGTTTGTATAGATTATGTAATAAAAAAAGATATTTTAGATTTTAAATAAATTAATACATAATTTCTTTGTTGTCTTTTTTAGACAATTGATGGCCAAACTTTATTGCATTATACACTTTCGAAGTCATTTAAATTATTAAAAAAATTTACCGTAATTTGCCGTATTTTTTTGGTATTATGCAGTGGTTAATTAATCCGCAAGTCCTTGTAGTTTCAACGAATTTTGAATCAGGTCCCTATAGTTTTTTTTCTTTTTATTAGGTCCTTATACTTTTATTTTTTTTTAATTAGGTCATTGTATTTATTTTTCTTTTAATTAAGTCCTTATAATTTCACTAAATTTTTAATTAGGTCCATGTAGTTTTAATTTTTATTTATTAATTAAATATAAGGTTAATTAAATAGATTAATAATGAAATATAAAATATTAATAATTAAATTAAATTAATAATTATGTAATAAAAAAGTAATAGAACTAATTAATTCAGGAAAATTTTTTAGAACAATTAATTTTTTTGCTGAAAAATTAAAATCATTATAATAATTCAATATCTTTAGAATATTATTGTTTATAAACTAATATTAAATAATATATACTATTTTATGTTTATATAATAGTACTATTAGAATTTATAAAATAAAGAATAAAAAATTTAGGGACTTAATTAAAAATAGGGTGAACTTATAAGGACTTGATAAAAAGAAAAATAAATACAAGGACCTAATTAAAAACAGATGAAAGTATAAGGACCTGATAAAAAGAAAAAAAACTATAAAGATCTAATTTAAAATTAGTTAAAACTATAAGGAGCCGTGGATTAATTATCCCTTATGCATTTAATTGCATCCACTTTAATAGTTGTCTTTTATGCTCACTCCAACAGATAGTCAAATATTGCCATCTGCCAGTCAATGCATTTCTACCGTCTCTTTCTCACTTTCGTTCTTCGCTGATTTAGAGCCTCAACTCTAAATTTCTCTGTAAAGGAGTTGGACCGATACATATTAAAAATAAGTTATTAACATGTAAGTTGTTGATAAATACAAAATAATTTTTTTTTAAATAAAATGATGAAATAAATTTATTATTAAAATAATATACACTTTATAAAACTAATAAAAATTAATCCAGTTAATAAGTAGTTAACTCATAATTTATAAAATTATAAGATTAAATTCTGTTACAAATATGAGAGCCGTGTTAGGTGATCTATAACTATCTTTGTGAGTCTTGTATCTCCCAGCTCTGATGGGTTTTCATCCAACTCGCCGAAAAAAAGCACACTCTATAAAGGAAAAGCTCTCAGCTAAGTTGAGGCTTCTTTTTGGGGGAGGGGGTAAAAATATCTTACGCAATAATTCCAGTGGGCCCGTCATAATGATTCCTCGTGTTAAGTATGCCTTTCCGTATTTTTTGACCTTACAGCCTAGCACCAACAAAATTTTTCCACATTTTCTTGTGGACGTTACCCGTCATAATAATTTCAGTGGGCCCGTCATAAGGAACCATAATTTCTTCGAAAACGAGTTGGAACGATACATATTAAAAATAAGATGATGGAAAAAAAATTCTGGTGGACGTTACCCGTTATGCTTATAATCTATTGATTAAAGTTACTGTAAAATGATGAAATAAATTTATTTTAGATTTTAAATAAATTAATACATAATTTAGCCTTTCCTTTTTTTTTTTTTTGTTTTTAGCAGTATACATTTAATTGCTCTGGTGGGGTCCTCCACTTTAATATTTGTCTTTAATGCTCACTCCAACGGATAGTCAAATATTGCTATCCGCCATTCACTGCATTTCTATCCTCTCCTTCTCGCTTTCGTCCTTCACTTCTTTGCTACACCCAAACCAAACCATGGCCGGCTTTATTACTCCAGTCATCGACATCCTGACTCATTTGTGTGGTCACTGTTCCCAATGGGTAGATTCAATGCGCCAGCTACGAGACAACCTCAACTCTGAGAAATGCTTCAAGTCAACTCAATAACAAGGGTTCTCTACTCTTTCATTGACCATCAAATTGTGTTCCTTTTTCATCTTAGAGGTGTTGATTTTCTCAGATGGCCAAAAGTTAAAAAAACAAAAAAACAAACAAAAGGAAAAGAGACGTTGATTTTCTCAATTTCGGGTGCTGATGACTTCTTTTTTAAATTTCTCGTACCTCTTCGAGCGGTGCTAATTTGCTGCTTTTATGTTCTCAATTATGACCCTCCTTAAAATCATAAATAGAATCACTATAAGTTGCTTATAAACATTCCAAATGGGTCTAATATATGCCGAACATATTCAACTTTTAATTTGTAACAATGCAAGATTGGCCCTGTTTAATGATTGAAAAGTTGATTAGTCAAACTAAATAACATAATACATTTTTTTAACGAGATTCCAATTGATTTGCTAAAGCATGAAATCTTGAAACTGTACGGAAAAATAACGGTGCATGTTTTGTGTTTATAATAATTGGATTTTATATGATTAAATAGATATGTTTTGGGAATTACTAAATATTATATGCATATTCAGTTGATTATATGTGATTATATATAATTATATATACCCGCACATGAATCTGGCTTCTCTCCTCTGCTCATTATCTCCGCTGCCTCTCCTCTACCCCTAGACGATGCCGTTTTTGCTCTAAAATGGAGTCACGCACGTTGGCGTGCCACTTCTCTCCGATTCCCATTTGCCACATTGCCATCACCTCATCTATACTCTAACCAATAAAACCGGTGCTTTTATGATTGCCTTCCCCACTAATTTTAATGCCAAGAAAAAATCCCGACCAAACTCATCAAACAAAGTAACAAGATTGGTCAAAGAAATAAATAAAAACAATCAGAAAATTTAAAAAAATCATTCAAAACATCCCAAGAAAATCACATTCCTGTACATGTTTTCTGTAAAATTATAATTTTAAAAATATCTTTTTAATATACGAAATAAACATGCGTTTATCTTAATTTGTGAAAAAATATTTTTAAAAAGTATTTTTCATGTTTCTCAAAAACCTATTCAAAATGCCAACATGTGCACTACAAAAATCTAAACCTATTCAAAATGCTAGTGGTATCAGCTACGAGGCATTACAGATTTCATAAAGGATATAATGAGATTTTTATGGAAATGATATGGTAAAATCTCGACCCAAAAAAAAAACCAGTAAAATCTTGTCGATTCAAAATTTTTTAAGGGATTTTATCAATACAAATTCCACGTAGTGGTTTTCACTCAAAAGAACCATGACTTTCGAAATGGAAAGGGAGGCACATGACTTAGAAGTGTCGGTTGCCTCCCCCCCCCCCAACTACGTTAGCTGCGCCTCCAGTTGCCCCTCAAATTTTGGGAAATTTCATAATTTTTTAGTTTTTTTAATGGGCAAAAAGTCGTTTAATTTTAATTTTTTTATGATTTCTTAAGGATTTAATATTCAATTCTCTGAGAAATCATTAAAAAAATAAAAAATAAACCATTTTTACTCATAGGATGTCAAAATGTCATTTATCTTATGTAGAATTTAATGATTAAAAAAAACTAAAAAAAACAAAGAAAAGGGTCCAAAATTAAGCGGCCACTAGGGTGCCACTGACACCCTATCCGAGAGACATCTCATTTTGATGTGTAAATTTTTGATTGGTTCTACCAAGAAAAATCCCAGCCTTAAGAACTTCCTCCTTTTCACATTATCAAGGGAACAGTCGGTGCTGTGCATACATGTGAAAGCCTTTTCCACTTCGAAGGCTCAAAGTAGGCTTTGTCAAAGTCCTTAAGGGGGTGTTTGGATGAGGCAAAACCATGGTTTGCAGAATAGCTTCTGGAGAATAGATTCTGGAGAGAATAGATTTTGAAAGAATAGATTTTCTGAAAAAGTGATTCTGATAAAGTGAGAGTGTTTGGATAATTATTGTCAGAAGTGCTTTTTGATATGTAGAAATTACTAAAAAGGACATAAGTTTAAATGATAATTACATATAATATATATTTCATAATATATGTTTATTTGAAGTAATAAATTTATTAATAATATATATTTTGGCAACATAATAAATATGGCATAAATAATATAAATAATAAGAAATTAGTGTGTATATATATTAATAAAATAAATAAATATGTTTTTAAAAAAATGATTTATTTTGCCAAATAATTGTACCCCTTGAAGTGATAAGTACCCCCCGCGTGCTGAATGAGTCCCCGCGTGCTTGTTCCCTCCGTAGCCAATAATTGTCCCTCCTCAGAAGCTGTGCCTGGCCTGCTTATCTGGAACCAAGGTTTTGTTAGGCAAAACCAAAGTTTTGCCCAAAACCTTGGTTTTAAAAAAAATGTTTGCCAAACACCCCCTAAATTGCAATTCATCCATTTCAGTACTGTTCACTTTTCCCTTTAATAAAAGAGAAGAGGAAGAATTTTAATATTTTTCAAAAAAAAAAAGGAGAGAAGATGACAAGACACTTATTATGCATAAATAATAAAAGTAAAGGAGCAAGAGACTAGTCAAACATTGCTCTTCGCCAACCTGAAACATTATTCATTGCATTTGTGTCTTTCTCCTTCTCAATCTCCTCCATTCTTCACTTCTTTGGTGCACCCAAACTGAACCATGGCCGACTTCATTACTCCAGTCATTGACATCCTAAGTCGTCTGTGTGGTTATTGCACCAAATGGGCAGATTCAATACGCAATCTTGGAGAAAATCTCATCTCTTTGAGAAATGCTTCAAATCAACTCAATGACGTGTATCTTGATGTCAAGATGAAGGTCGAAATGGCAGAGCAGGACCCAGATCCAAGGCTGAAGGTTTTGAATGAGGTAAGGGGTTGGATGGGCAGAGTAGAAGAGCTACAAAATGAAGTCCGACCCATTTTGCATCAAGGTGAAGGAGAAATACAAGCCAAGTGTTTCGGAGGTCGTTGTCCCAAGAATTGTCGGGCTAGCTACAAGCTAAGCAAAATGGTTGCCCAGAAGTTGAGTATCATTAATGATCTTACAAGCAAAGGCCATTTTGATGTTGTAGCAGAAAAGCTTGCCCGTGATACGTTCGATGAACTTCCTGTGGATAAGGCTGTGGGAGTAGAATCAACATTTGTGGAGCTATGTTCGTGCTTTGAGAACAACCATGAGCGCATCATTGGTTTGTATGGAATCGGAGGGGTAGGCAAAACGACTCTACTTAAGAAATTCAACAATGAATTCCTCTCAAAAACACCAGATTACACTGTCATCTGGGTTGTGGCATCTAAAGATGTAGATCTAGGAAAAATTCAAGAAGATATTAGGAAGAAATTGCGCGTCCAAGATGATATTTGGAATCATAAGACAGTGGATGACAGAGCTCTTTTGTTATACAATATCTTAAAGAACAGGAAATTTGTGTTGTTATTAGATGATGTGTGGCAAAGGATTGACTTGCTGAAATTAGGGGTTCCTTCCCCAAATAATCATGAATGTAAGGTAATATTTACCACTCGGTCAGAAGAGGTATGTGGTCGAATGGATGCACAGAGAAACATAAAAGTAAATTGCCTCACAGCAGATAAAGCATTCGACTTGTTCAAGGAGAAAGTGGGTGTTACTACTCTTGAAAAACCTCATATATTGCCTCTTGCAAAGCAAGTGGTGAAAGAGTGTCAAGGCTTGCCACTTGCTCTTTGTACTATTGGGCGTGCCATGGCTAACAAGGTAACTCCCGATGAATGGAGGCGTAGTATAGAAATTTTGAGGCATTATCCCTCAAAAGTCCAAGGTATCATTGAAGATGTCTATCACTTGCTTGAATTTAGTTATGATAGATTGCCGAATGATACCTACAGATCATGCTTTTTGTCTTGTGCCCTGTTTCGTGAGGACTATAATATTGAAAAACAAGAGCTTATTTTGCTCTGGATTGCTGAAGGCTTTTTGGATTATGATATACATGAAGCACGTAAGCAAGGAGAAGATATAATTTCAAGTCTAAAGTCCGCTTGCTTATTGGAAAATGGTGAGGAAGAAAATACAATTAAGATGCATGATGTGATCAGAGATATGGCTATCTGGCTAGCGTGTCATCATGGGAAAAAGGCAAGATTCATGATAAGAGATTGTTCCAAGACTAGTGACCTTGAAGCAAACAATCATGCAAAGTGGAAAGAGGTAGAAAAGCTATCAATGTGGGGCGGGGGTGAAGTGAGTACAAGCTTCGCACAAAAACCTCGCTGTCCTAATCTCATCACTTTGCTTATTAGGGATGATGGAATACGAGTCTTTCCAACTGAGGTATTTGTCCTTCCAAGCACTGTCAGAGTACTAGACTTGTCATCTAACGAAGGAATAACAAATCTACCATCAGAAATTGGGGACTTTGTGAGCCTTCAATACATGAACCTATCCCGTACTGGTATAAAAAAATTGCCGGAGCAGATGAAGAATTTGAAGAAGCTGAGGGTCTTGTTGCTGGACGAAATCCACGAGCTTGAATTCCAAGAGAAAGTTATATCTGGTTTGTTATCCCTTCAAGCTTTTTGCACGAGATCGTCAAAAATTCGAGGGATTGATAAAAATGTGTTGTTGAATGAGCTAGAAAGCTTAGATCATCTTCAAGATATACGCATTTTTATCCGTAACACATCCTCTGTTGAAAAAATACTGATCTCCTCAGAATTGCAAAGGTGCATATGTGAGCTATTTGTTATGAGAGTAGACTCGTCATTCCACGGCTTGTTCTCATCGCTTGGAAATATGAAGCATCTTGAAACATTACGAGTTTATGATTCTCACGCTATGGATATTCCGAGGGGCTCATTTTGGGGACATGATTATATAATCACCCTTCGCCAGTTGGTTCTTGATAGTTGTCAAAATATAGTTGACTTGAACTGGCTTGTACATGCTCCAAACCTTGAATTCCTCGAGTTAGCCGGTTGTAATTCATTGGTGGAAGTTATAAGTAGTGAAGATTTTGGCACTGAGATACAGAAAAGTAATCTATTTTGTAGTCTCACTTATCTTCGGTTGACTTATCTGTTGAGCTTAAGGAGCATTTGTAGAACAGCATTACAGTTTCCTTGTTTAAAGGAGATTGAAGTAATACAGTGCCCCTGTTTGAAGAAACTCCCATTTAATTCTAAAAGTGCATTGAATAATCTACAACGCTTTATTATAGGAGATCATGATGATTGGTTTTTGGATCAGTTGGAATGGGAAGACGGAGCCACCAAGCATCTTCTTTCTTCAAAATTTGAAAAAAGGTAATTATTTTTCCCAACTAAATGCAATCAGTTAAAGCTTTAGAGCAAAGTTATACACACTTCCATGCAAATTCTAATATATCTTCTAATTGACCCAAGCGCTGCATGCACATAAATATATATCATGAGATTATTATATCTGTGAATAATTTGTTTTCCCAATATTTCATATGGATAGGTGCAACATCTTGCATTTCACGACGTTTTGAAATTTGTAGAATTTTTGTTCATTAAAAAAAACGTAGAATTTTCAATTAAATTACGCATAGCATATTTCACCAAACAGGTACAAATAGCATGTAAGAAAATTTTGATATTGTTACACTTACCTGCATATTTCCTCTTCCATATAGAACTGAAAATGAAGAGAAATAATAAATTTGTAAAGATTTTGACATAAAATTTTTTTTCCATTATTTGGTTTGAAGTTTTTTTGGGTTGCTGTCTGCCGGTTGTGGGTTTTATATACCCTTTGTTTTGTTTTAGCTGTGGTCTGTTTCTATTATTTAATGAAGGAGTTTAATGAGTATTTGGCAAAAATTGATATAAATTATTCTTTTTCATGCCTAATTAAAAACCGTTAAGCTATTATATGCAATAAATTTATTAAAACGCATACAAGGAATAATTAACTCTAGTTTATTCAGGTAGTTAATCAAAGATACTTTAAAGACCCAACATTGAATTCTAAGCAGTGTTCAAGATCCAATATTTTAGTAAATGGTATGTGCATACGAATTATTGTATATATATTTTAAAAAACGACTTTTTTTTGTAAGAAAATTACCCATACACATATATTAAATTATAAATAAAAATAATATAATGACATTTTATTTTGAAAAGCAACACATAAGAGAAAATTTAGAAGAGATCAGACTAACGGGCATTGTTGAACCACTCCATAAAAATTATGTGTTCATCTGCTGCAGTATCTTTTCTTTTTGCTTTTTTTTTTTTTTTTCCCATCAAGACCTTCGCTGATTAATTTTTTTCCCCTGGCTAAACTTTGCTCGCAGGTCTGGATCGCTCCCATCTGGGACGATGGACTTCTATGAGTGAGTACCTTTCATTGTATCCTTCCAAGTCCTTTTTATTGATAATCACTCCAATTTTAAATATAATACCCATTTTCTCATATAAATTATACTATAAAATAAGTTTTATATTTAAAATCAGGAAAGTATATTGTTTTTTTTTGTTATGATGGATTGCAATGGTAAGTTTCATTATTCAGACCTGCATAGTAAGCAAGTCTTTACTCTTTAAAGATCACCTTCATATGTTGGCCCAAAAAAAAAAAAAAAGGCCGCCGTCATAATTTTTTGAATTTAAGTACATATATATATATATATATATATAGACAGATTAAATTACAAATTTTATTTTGAAAAGCAACACACATGAGAAAATTTACAAGTGACTAAGAGGCATGAAACTATTGCTTAACAAAATTTATTGATTTATAGAATATTACAAGAAATATAAAAGGATTAATTACTTGTGTTCATCTGCTGCAATATTATATATATATATATATATTTTGTTTTCAAGAGACTTCACCAATTAACTTTTTTCCCCTGCTAACTTTTCATGCAGCCCAATAACAGAGGGTGTCGTCTAAGAAAAGGTCGTATTCTAAAACATCTTGCAGGTGGGTGTCGAAGGTGGGTGCCTAAGAATTTTCCTTTTCAGGTGAATAACATAGTGTGTGTATATGTTGAAGATAAAATTTCTGGAAATAAATGAGTGAGTAAATGTTATAGTTAGTGTTGCTATATTCCTATGTTCTCTCGGATTGTATCGTTATGTATCCTCCCAAGCACTATGATTTGAGTATTTTTACCGTTTACCCATAAACATTGCCATAAGATTGTACGCTGTCTTTTGTTTTATGTTATGATTTTGGGTTAATATAATCATTAGTGTGCTTATAGTCTCTTTTTATTTTAGGTTAATCCCTAAAATTTTTAGAACGTGCTTTTTTCTTCTTTTAAGTTTGTCCCTTTGGAACGTTAGTCCTTATATTTCTAAAAGGCTTGGAGTTGCTTACTTGGCAAGATGACTGGGTAACTTTGCTGACCAAGCTTCTAATCTGTACATATGACAAAAACAAAATAGAACCATAAAACGCAACACGTAAGAGGCCATGACCAAAAGGAATTCTGATAGAGATGAAGAAATGGATTATGATAAGAATTTGTTTAGTAGTATTATGCAAAAAAAAAAAATCCATAAAGAAACAGAACGCCAAAATCAGACTTTTGAACGAGTACCTAGAAAGAGATTTAGAAGCAGACGAATGTGAAACCCCATGACTGTGTTTCCTGCTGTGACATTTATGCTTTCTTCAAACCTTTCCTCCTTGTCTTGTGCTGGTTGCTTTTTCTCCCTTTGCGAAAATCGAACACAAATGTTTTTCAGAGTAAGATAATAAGAACAAGAGAGAAGCTTGATAGATATATACGAGGAAGTAGAAGACATTGGGATGTTTGTTGGGAGTGATCATGGTGGCAAGAAGGAAATGGATAGCTTAAGAGTATGTTTGGCTCAATGAGAGGAAGGGGAGGGGAGGGATTTTAATAGAGGGAAGGGGTGGGAAGGAAAGTGGAAGGATTTTAATATTATCTTATTTGGATTTATAAAAAAAGAGAGGAGGGGAGGTAAAAAATTTTAATATAGACAATTTTGTTCTTATTTTATTTAAGATATGGGTATAATAGTCATAACATGACAAAATATGAACATAATAGTCACAACATGGTAAAATATGAGTATAATGATTACAACATGACAAAATATTGTCCTTTTTCTCTAAATCCTCTCAATTTTGAAAGGAAGGTTGAGGAGAGGAGAGAAAGAAAAATTTAAAAAAAATTTCTCTCTCTTTCTAAAATTTGTGTGTTACCAAACAAGAAGAAATGATTAAAATCCTTTCCTTTCTCTCTCCTCCTTCCTAAATCCCTTGTACCAAACACACTCTAAGTTGAAACATAGCGATCCACATCCTTATTTTCTTGTTGTCTTTTGGACACGAAGGATTATAATAAATGTTGTTTGACGCTGTTTGTACCGAAGAATGTCAAATCAGAGCCACAGAGTTGTGGGTTTGTTTACGGTTCATGCTATATGGGCTTGGGAATGAGTCCAAAAGCAGGGAGGTTTTGGGAACCAAAGAAAACAAGCACACATTGATATGCTCTGTTCACCTCTATTTTCATAACCAAAAACAGAACTGAATCCAAAATAATTAAAATCACTTCAACACAAACCCAGACAAGGACCCAATAAGTAGTTGTTGCAGCTTATTTTAAAGCAAGAGAACTCAGATAGAGGTATTTGTAGTAATTATGACAGGGGCATAGTCACTTATGGATTAGCATTTCTCCTTCTCTAATGGTATCAATAGAATACAAAAATGCAAAATTTTTGTTCATGCAGGTATCACTGGCGGTTTTTGCAACGGGTAAGGGGTTGGATGGGTAGAGTAGAAGTGCTACAAAATGAAGTCTGATCCATTTTGCAGCAAGGTGAAGGAGAAATACAAGCCAAGTGCTTCGGAGGTTGTTGTCCCAAGACTTGTCGAGCTAGCTACAAGCTACATAAAATGGTTGCCCAGAAGCTAAGTGACATTAATCATCTTACAGGCGAAGGCCATTTTGATGTTATAGCAGAAAAGCTTGCCTGTGATGGGTTCGATGAACTTCCAGTGGATAAGGCTGTGGGAGTAGAATCAACATTTGAGGAGCTATGTTCATGCTTTGAGAACAATCGGGTAGGCAAAACAACCCTACTGAATAAATTCAACAACAATGTCCTCTCAAAGAAAGCAATCGATGCAGTCATCTGGGCTGTGGCGTCTAAAGATGTAGATGAAGGAAAAATTCAAGAAGCCATTGGGAAGAAATTGCATGTCAGAGATGACGAATGGAATGTTAAGACGGTGGATGACAAAGCTCTTTTGTTATACAACATCTTAAAGAACAAGAAATTTGTGTTGTTATTAGATGATGTGTGGGCAAGGATTGACTTGTTGAAATTGGGGGTTCCTTCTCCAAAAAATCATGCTCGGTCGAAAGAGTTATGTCGCCTAATGGATGCACAGAGAGTCATCAAAGTAAACTGCCTCACACCAGATAAAGCATTTGAGTTGTTCAAGGATAAAGTTGGTGGGAAAATTCTTGAAAGCCCTCATATATTGCCTCTTGCAAAGCAAGTGGTGAAAGAATGTAAAGGCTTGCCACTTGCTCTTTGTACTGTTGGACGTGCCATGGCTAACAAGGAGACTCCCAATAAATAGAGGCGTAGTATAGAAATTCTGAGGCATTATCCCTCAAAGGTCCAAGGTATCACTGAAGATGTCTATCACTTGCTTGAATTTGGTTATGATAGATTGCCAAATGATACCTACAAATCATACTTTTTGTATTGTGCCCTGTTCCCTGAGGACCATAATATTGAAAAACAAGAGCTTATTTTGCTCTGGATTACTGAAGGCTTTTTGGCTGAATTTGATTATGATATGCATAAAGCACGTAAGCAAGGAGAAGATATAATTTCAAGTCTAAAGTACGCTTGCTTATTGGAAAATGGTGATGAAGAAAATACAATTAAGATGCATGATGTGATCAGAGATGGCTCTCTGGCTAGCTTGTGATCATGGGAAAAAGGCAAGATTCATTATAAGAGATTGTTCCAAGACTAGGGACCTTGAAGTATACAATCATGCAAAGTGGAAAGAGGTAGAAAAGCTATCAATGTGGGGCGGGGGTGAAGTGAGTACAAGCTTCTCGCAAAAACCTCGTTGTCCTAATCTCATCACTCTGCTTATTAGGGATAGTGGAATACGAGTCTTATTCTTTCTTCTTAGCTTTCACCCCTACATTTTTTCTCTAATTTTTGGCAAATTTTTTCCTCTACAAATGCTTGCCAAAATTCTCTACCAAGGTGGGATATTTATAGCCAAAACTTATACCTTGAATGGACCATTATGCCCTCTAAGTTCCTACTAATTACAATGCTTAGGTGTCAACATCTTATGCCTTCTTGAACTAATTTCCATCCTTAAAATAAATCCAAACGAAATTTAATTTCAAAATCAAAATCCTCTCTATTCTTGGCTTGACAAGTGGCACCAAAATCCCTTCCATTCATAGCTTGACAAGTGGCACATTTCTAGCCATATAAAAAAAACGAGAGTATACTTTACCGGTCTCTTTTCTCAATCCAGGTCTTCTGGAGGAGTGAAATATTTGTCACATTACTTTTGTCTTATTCTACTACCTCTTCTTTCTTCTTTAATGCCTTTACATGTGTCATAATTATCTCACATGGTGCATTAATGAGCCATAATGGCTTTTGTCTTTTCCTTAGATATTTTCCTCTATTTACTTGGCTTTCATTTGTCAGAATTTCTTCCTAGCTTTCTGAAGCTCTGAAAATTATTTTGTCTACTCTAAAAATTTGTTTTATCTTTAGAGAAAATCTATGAATTTTCTCAAACAATGACTCATCCCCTAAGCCCCACTTAGAAATCATTCTTTAAAATACCCTTTTATCGGCATAATTAGCTTTATATTTTATTAAAGCCATTCCACTAGCCTTCTGGGAGCAGGACTAATTTTATAAATTAGTACAACCTTTTAACTATTTAACCTCATTTTTGCGTATATTTTGGAGATCTCTTGCTATCTCAAATAATTACCTCAAACGGTGTACTTTTTACCGGCCATAATCTTATAAATTTCATTTAAGTTACCTCAGGGGTATTTTCATCATTTTTCTTCACAAAAGAGTCTTAGAATATTATTTCTCATTTTCTGAGATTTTCCTAGAATTTACTGTTTACTTTCCATTTTTATCTCCAATGGCCATAACTTTCTGAAATTACAATTTAGTTCTTGATTGGACTTAATCCTTATAAAACATCTCTTTAAGGCCTCTAATTTAACCTTTGGCCAGTATCTAGCCCCTTTTATCTTTCTAAGCCATTAAGACTTTCCTGAAATCTCAATGTTATTTACACATTTGTCTCCTAGTAACTTTCTTACTTTGCAGTTTAGTCTCTAAAACTGCTTTGTTTTTCTTTCTCATTTTTAGGACTTCTACTAAAAATGGTCTGATAGCCTATCCAATTCTGACTAATTCTGATACTTCTAAGCCCAAAAGTCAAGATGTTACACATGTCATCCTTACTTGCACATGTCTTGTTTATAGGCTTCAATTGAAAAATGAAGAAAAATAGTAAATCTGCAAATATTTTGACGTATAAAAATAAATCTGTTTGTGCTCTATTTTTTTTGGTTCATAGCTTCTATGAGTTGCTGTGTGCTAGCTGGTAGTGGGTTTTGTGCCATTTTGTTTTGTTTTAGCTTGGGCCTTTGTAAGATCTGTTTTTATTATTTAATTGGAAAAAAAAAGTTTTATGAGTATTAGGCCGAGAAAAAAGTTTTTAATCAGGTCCCTAAGATTTTATTGAAACTTATAATTTGCCTCAGTTTTTAATCAGGTCCCTAAGATTTTTTTTTTCCTTTTTATTAGGTTCTTTAACTTTACACCATTAAGTCCGTTAGTCCCCAAAATTAAAACTGTTAAGTAAACATTGAGGGTATTACTTTTCCATGGTAAAATTTTGTAGATTCATTCTGATGGTCCGCTCCCAGGAAATCTCTGCTACTTCTGGCCATCTACAATTTCGCATTTGCGCTGCCTCCTTTTCATAAAACTAAAATCTAATCCCCATTCGCTTCCTCCATATAGCTCCCTTACCTAATGACTTTCTGGCAAATTATTTTCCTCTCTCCGATTAACGTTCGTCCAGTGTCCCATGAAAGCCTTGAGCTCAAAGCCATTTTCTTCTTCTCTCACCTACTCTTCAAGTTATTCCACGCTCCTATGCCAGCGGGAAAGTAAAGATTTGTCGCTGTTGCCCAAATTTTGATGAAGTTTTCCATCTCGCTTCAGTGATAAGTTGCGATTTTGGATGATGGAAATTTTGCTTGATTCTTTGATTCTGTTTATGCATTTTCTGCAGGTAATAGGAATCGTAGATGGTGACTGTAGTTTTCTTGTTTTAGTAGTCTCCTTGAGTTTTCTGGAAAAGGAAAGAATTTTATCAATTCGATTTACACTGTGAATTTTGGTTCCACTTGTTACTGTGACACGCTTTTTTTGGTAAATTCATATTCATTATGAGTTCTGGAAATGAAGTAAAACTGCACAAATTTAATACTTCTATCGGCTGTATGCCTTCGACTAAGATCAACCCACTGATCTAGATTCCCGAAAGCTCAAGGAAGCGATGGTTTGAAATGATTCGGCGAAGCTAGTTTTGAAGTTGTGGCCAAGAAAGTTGTTCGTCTTTGACAACCAATCTTCGAGTGTGTTGAGGAATTTCTCACGGGAGAAACTCATTGCCACCAACCAATACTCATCCAACAGAGATGGAGGACGATCGGAGTCCTAGATAAGTTCACTTCGCTTGCCGAAAATGGTGCAGAATTTCAATGAGACAGATGAGAAATAGCCATCGGCGGCTAAATGCAGCCATAATTGCTGCAATTGCTTCTATAGCAGAACGAAGGAGGAATGAGCAACGATATTGAGCAATGAACGAACAATGAAGGAGGGTTTTAGTCTGAAACTTTTGGGGTTTTGGGGGAAGGAGATGGATAGCGGTCATTAGTTAAGGGACTAATGGATCTAACTAAGTGAAAAGATCGATTAATAAATCAGTGATACATCAAAGATCCAATGTTGAATTCTAAAACGTATTCAAAATCTAATATTTTAGTAAAATGATTTATGTATACAAATTCTAGTATGTATATTTTAAAAAATAACATGTATATTAAACTACATATATATATAATACACATATATGCTAAATTATATATAAAAACAATATGATGTTATTTTATTTTGAAAAGCGGCACATAAGAGAAAATTTACAAGAAAGTAACGGGCGATGATGCCGATTTTCTCAGTTTCTGGTGCTAATAACTCTTATATATCCCACCTCTTGGAGCTACATTATTTGTTACTTCCCGGTCTCAATTATGTGTGTGAAACATGTCCCACTTTTGTTCTTTGATATCCAAGGTTTCTTGCTTCCAAGAAAGGTGGAACCAATCCTATTTGATGTATGCCGCGTAATAAAATAAATCCCCTCTTTAACTTTTCTCCTCTGTTGTCCAATCCAATCGCATCGAAGTGCTAAATTTCCAATAGCAAGGCAACAGCCAAATGATTCAGGCGGAAGCCTATTGGCAGCACCAAGCGAGAACTAACTAAATACAATAGAACACAGAAATACAAAATTTTGTTCATACAGGTATTCGTTAGAAAGGAATAAATCATATCGTGCAATTGAAGGACCAAAATGGAAACTAGCTAGATTAATGATAAATGAAGGTACGAGTCAGATTTACAAGTATCTAAATTTAAAAGTTTTGGCTCTAGTGACCACCCAATACCCAGTCGTGTCTTCTGGACCCCTAACCTTTTCCTTCGTATCCACAAAGGTCAGCATTTTTGGAGCTATTATTGGAACAGGTGCCTCAGTACCAGACTCACCATTATAAACTATTGGTTTTATGCTACCTTCTTCAGTCGGCTTTTCATTCTCAACCACATGATGCAGTTCCTTGGTTAGTATTGTGCTCATCGAAGCTGAAAAGAACCCTGACTTTCAAAATGGAAATAGAGATCCATACTATTCTGATTTGTAAATTTCTGCTGATTCTACCAGGGAAAACCCAAGCCTCAAGAAAAGAACTTTTCTCCTTTTCACATGCTTGATCTCAAGCCAGGCCTTCGTTACAATGGCTGGGGGCTCATCGTCAAGGGAACTATTGCACTATATTGGCACTGTGCACACATGTGAAAACCTTTTCCACTTCACAGGTTCAAAGTAGGCTTTGTCAACTGGCTCATCATTAGATTCACAACGAATATCACAATAGATTTTAAGGATTTGTGGAAGATTTGAAAGATGCTGGAGATGGATAGCCAGATGGTCACTCTTTCTGCCTTCCAAGAACAAGCGAATACCTGTAACAGGACAATATCCAGAGTCAACCTGCAAATTTGTGAGGTTAAAAGCTAACGCAGAATGTCAGGTATTATTGAAAAGTAATGAAAGAAAGATGCAAAATGATTCCTATCCTCCTACTTAATAGTAACAATAATAATACCAAGGGACAAACAATGTTTAGTGGCAACAATAAGGATATAACGGACACTATATTACTATTTCTGGTCCTAATTATAAGACTCAATTGACTAATTTGAGGAGATTAA